TGAGCCTCTCGAACCAAGCGCAAAGTGTGTCGCAGTGGATCTCAGACTGGAAAGTGAGACAGGAATCAGCAGTACGTTGGTACGCAGTACCACCGCTTCGCTGCCGCGCAACCACCACCAGTGGCACGTGGGCTAAGGATACTACGATGGTCGCCCGGTTCCTATGCAGGCTCAAACCCGTGCCCTCGGAGTACAAGGGCTGGCGGAAAGTGAGACAAGCCAGCAGTAAAGTTCATTCATCGGTAACTTCATTTCCCATTATCACCATCCAGCCTGTATTCTATCCTGCACCAGGTAAACGAAACAAGGCTGCATTCGGTAAACAGTGAGCAGGTATACGTAGAAAGTTTACCTAAGCCAGTCAAGTTGTTCAATGTTATTTGGTGTTCTAAAGAATGAAAATGACCACCGCAACATAGGGCTGATCAGCGCACCTTCATCGCTATTGAGATACCGGTGCCACCCGACACCTGTCATGCTCCGCAGGTAACAATAAGCAAAAACGTAGGCACTTTAGACGGAATTGGTCAAGTCTCACACAGAGCAGAACGGCTCTCGCTGTGGCCCTATGAACGCGCTTTCAGACCGAAAGGAATCCTACCGACGCCACAGCTATCGGTTTCGAGAAACCGGCTTCAACTTTCTCAATAAGTCGACTCACTTAGTGTCGCGACACTTGCTGCTAATTCAGCTAAAGATATCGTTAAACAGTAACTATCTTATACAGCACAAAGATTAAGGGGCCATCTAGTGAATGGTGGACAATATTAGGTTCGTTTACAAATCAAAACCAGTTTTTTGGAATTGTACTTTTCATCTGACTTACTGCCTAATTGACACACCACAGGATCTGCACTACATGATCGGCAAGTAGATGCCAAAACATGTGACCTTTACCCATGAGCACTCAGCGCGCCCAAGCACGTGACAACCATGGGTGATTGAGGAAGTACATCCCACACCCACTAACAAAACGGACATATGCGTCAAAAGGCACAAAACAATTGAACGAGCGAATAACTGATCCGCACGTATTCATCCATGTTCACAGGGCTTGTCGTACGCGACCGCACTGGACCCGAGTTGGGCTCACAGTAATTAACACCAACATGCGATAAATCCGTCTCTTATATGCAGGATTATTATATGTACAATAATATCATTTATATTAGTGTATAAGATTCAGTTTGTAACTAGTTCAGTTTAGGCAACATCACTCTTGCCCTGAAGGGTAGAGTGTACAATGCAGCAGTACGTTCGACCCTACTGTACCGTTGTGAAACCTGGCCGCTTAAAGCAGCGGACCTGAAGAGGCTAGTTACGTTCGACCACCGGTGCCTTCGTAATTTAGCTCACATCTGGTGGGAACACCGCGTGAGCAACGAGCGTGTTCGACGCCTCGTTTACGGCACAGGAAAAGGAAATGAACCGCTCAGCACCGTTAATTCACGCATCAGGCTCCGATGGCTCGGCCACCGTGTTACGCATGCCAGCCCACCGACTCCCGCGACGTGCGCTGTTTGCGCGCCGGGGGTGTGGATGGAAAAAGAGGGGGGTGGCCAAACGATGACTTAGTCAAGAGGAATGAAGGCCCTCACTTCTGAGCTGGCCTCAGTTGGAGCGTCTCGGCTCCCTGGTTGGGGTCCGAAAGACGATGAACACGTTTGGTTGGACACACTTGCTGATATGCCTAGGAGCCGACCTCAGTGGCGTTCGTGCTGTGAGTTTCTTTGTCCCACCCCATCCCTCTTAGCATCCCCCTCCAACCACGATCTCATTATTTAGCCTTATATAATGTTGCATAGTAATTTTTTCTGGTGCACAGCAGCCGGCTGGTAGCTTACCGGAACGATACCCATCCGTTACCGGTAGCTCAGCCAGCTTGCACCAGTTGCTTTTTTTCTCCTTTTTTCTATGTATTGCGGCACAGTAGCCGAGGTGTTCCCCACCAGGTAACGTGTAGTATGATGATGATGAGTTTAGGCAGCATTAATAGACGCACAGCCGTACTCTGGGAGTGGAAAACACACCAAATGACGGAACCACACCAAAAAGATTATCCAGTCTATTCGGCCATCTCATAATCATTGAGCAGCAGGACAATATGGTCAGCATAATCAAGATAAATAAGCTCCCTGTAAGGCAAAATACTGATGTTTACGTTGTGAGATGCCGCGAAGGAATAGTTCATGATGGAATCCACAATAAAGTTGAATGAATCTGGAAAAATTAGACAAATCTGGAAAGCACCACGTATCATCGGAAGGACATCCGATAGCTCGCCGTAGACTCTGATGCCAGTTGTGGTGGTTTGAGCATAGAGCATGTAAAATATTCACCTATTTCATGAAAGCACTTACACGCGTAAGTGTATCCAACATAACGAAGCGATCGATTGAGCCGAACACACCCAAGAAATCGAAGAGAACATTTATAGCCGATCTGTGGATCGTGTAATGCTTAGCAACTGCCGCAAGGCGAGAATACGGTCTATAGAGCCCCGTCATAAAATAAAATCGGCCTGCTCTTTTATTAGCTGAGATTCCCGTTCCACAATAAATCAGCTGACGAGAACTGAGGCCAGCAACTCCGTCGCAATCCGTTTCAGACTGATACCCTTGTGGGTAACGAAAATGGTGCCACGGCACCATGTACATCGGTTTGCTACAGATGGTTGTAATAGTTTCTGCTATCCATGTCTGTTCCGACAGGCGATTCAATGAGTTGTAGAGCACCTGATATCATCCTTAAATAATACAGAATGCGAGATCAGAAACAGAAGAGCGAAACGACGGAGAACATGGACCACATTGTGAACCACAGCCGACGACGGAGCCCCTAAACTAGCCGGTCATGACTCAGCTTGAACCATCCGAGTGGGAGGAGGTCCATTAGCAGGGGACAAACTGCGTTCCTCTCGAGAGTGTCCTGTGTAACAAGCCGGTGCGGTCAGTCTACTGTCTAAATGACGTATAAGTTTCCAGAAAAAATGATGCGGATCAGCTGCAGGAATCTGCAGCAGCTACTAACCGTTACTGTCTCCATCATTTACTGAACTAGGTAAGTCCTCTGGGAGTCTATTCCAGGTTTGTTAAACAATATAGACAACTGTACTGCGCTCAGTGACAGCATAAAGTATCTTCCTGATTGACAATATCGATAGCTAATGTCTGAAGCAGTGAGGGCTGACAGTACCGAAAGCAGAAGTTCTCGCGTAGTGCATTGTAGCGGAGATACCACATAAACTCAACAACGTCAGAGCAATCAAATAGGAACATGATATGTTAGACCTAGATAACCGTGAGTTGAGATAGTTTCCCAGTTGATTAGTAGTATATTTAATGAAAAATCGGCAGCGTACCACGGCATGATCAGTGGCAGTCAAGGATGAGACTGCGCCAGAAAAAACTGATGGCGATGTGGTCTATCTGGGTCTATCGTTAGTAATCTAAACGATACCAAGTAACACATCGGCGCCCACCACAGCTGAGGACAGCAATGGTAAGAAACAACTGATGATCGACAAAGACATAGGCAACAAATGACCGACACTGTCCGTGCGAATGAAAATAAGCTAAAACCTTTTACCCAGCTGAGCTACTGAGGGGTTTAGATGATCTGATTGCAACCGGGATTTCTTAACTGCTAACGCCGCGAAACAGAGTGCGAAAGTCATGGTAACAGGTATCCCTAGAAATAGCAGGACTGAATTCAGTAAGAGCATAACCGGCATTCGCAAACAAACAGCGTATGGTGCTGCTTTATGTAGCAGCTCAGGTTAATGCTGTCAGATGGACTACACATAGACGATTGATTACGGAGATCCACTCACGCAACGATAACTCAGCCCTGGAAGTGAAAGCGATGCTCACTCCAGCTTGACTCATGATTGCAGAATTAGCGACTCAGGATGCATGCAATCAGTGATGAAACAGATAGCTGACTGCGGCTAATTCTAAAACCCTCTGAGGATCGCCGATCCAGGTTAGAGATGCACGGGACACGTCAACAGTTACAATGTTCGAGTTACGTGCAAGTACGACTTGTTTACCTGAAAGTCGAACGTCACTTGAGAAGCAGAACAGCTTTGGCTAACAAGAAGTAATGGGTATTAATAGAACACTGCTGCAGGTAGTAGGTGCAATGGAGAAAGGCGTTAGAGAGAAGGGGAATCAGCAGTACCATAGGTCCATCTACCCCACTGTCGTGCATGGTAGATAAGACATCTCTTCTCAAACAGTGTAACAGAGGATGCAGAATGTGGGAGACGTTGAATCGGAATTGTACGACTATGCTATTTCAGATGTGCCCTAACCCAAGTAGGAATAAAACGCCACCGCAGCGCATCAAACTCCCGCAACGATGCTTCTATGCCACGCAACCACCAGCGGTTGTGTATAGGCCGGGATACTGCAAGGTCGCATGCAACCAAGCAGGTTCGAAACGGTGGCGCCTGTGGATTCCAAGTCGGATGAATGAATTACCGTGACACCAGTCGGACCTGAGTATGATGCGGAATGGTGACAGTCGCCACCGCCGTAGTAGTATCCACAATAGCTAGACGTTTGTGACCGGGTGACGTGAGGTAAAGAGGATCTGGCGAGGAAGCACGAGTATAATGATCGATCGAGTGTATCGGAGAGGTACACATTATTCGTCTGAATGAGGGTTGAAAACAGGCTACATTGTTACACAAAACGACTATCCGATATGGCGCACAAAGGATATCAGTGATACCCTTGCAGTAGGGCTGTCACTCAACAAAGAAAACGTCGCTTTGCATTTGGCGAGTTTGGTTTTATTCATTTTACACTGATAAAAAGTTTGAATTGGTAGCATGTAACATCAGACCAGGTTGCCATGCAAGCAAAAATGACAAAATTAAATAACAGGCAGTAAAACAAAAACGTTAAACTTATATTCTTCGTCCACCTTTGTGAAAAATGAACTCAGTAACGCTAAGTGTGGTCTGAATTTTTCCTCAATAAATAAAAGCTTACTTTTATTTGTCGGACAATCTCGAATTCAGAGCTTGTGTGAAAATCAATACCCTCCTTTCGAAGCAGTAAACACAAATAGCGAGAGATATCACGACCGGCCAAATCGATTCGCCTGATAGAATGAGGTAAGGCATAGCCTTCATAGATGGGAACTGCGTGTGTGACTCCGTCGCCGGAGTCGAGAACTGCACCAGTGGTTCGGCCTGTGGAGTACCTTGAAGCAAAGAAAACATCACTAGCCGAAGACCAAGAAAACGCACAGAGAAGCATCATATCAGGCGAATCGAAAACACACGTCATTGCTCTACTACCAGACGCGTAACAGTTATGACGTCAGTGATGTTCACACAATGGTTCGCACAGTACGAGCTACTCCGCCACTTTACTCATGCAAATTCGATTGACACAACTCACCTTCATTGCAACAGGCCGATACGCCTTACCGACGCTTTCACCACCACCAGTCGCGCGGTTCCCTACGCAGTCTCGAACCGGTGACATCCAGATTGCAAGGTAGATACCTTGTCTTTTCGGTCACCGGTCGGTAAAAATCATGGGTATTGACATTAGTTTGTGGCGACGTGAGTTCATGCAATAGGATCCACTACAGTTAAGTCAAAGTGAACTAACTAAAACAAACCTGAAATTTCTCAGTAAACTGATCGCGAACTTCACATATTTATATGCGCAGGTACTAATGCTACGCTACCATGCTACCGCAGAAAGCTGTATGGTAACTGGGTTTACTACAGAAGAGCCCAAACCCATGTACGATGGAAGCTGCAAGTCAGACGTCTAGACTAATAAACCATTGCATCCCGCGCGAAATATCAGGATGCAGTAACTGCAGTCTACTTTCATATTCTTACGTGAGAATGTCATACAATAAACCATACACGAAACGGAAGGAAAATAACAAGAATGACGAACGGTGTTAACTTAGCTGTTAAAGTTAACCAGTATCAGCGATCGCATATCATGCAGTGGAAAGGATCTTAATTTAGAGAAGCTCGACAGATATCGAAAGAACTTTAAACAGAGAAGCGAAGGTGAACCGTCGAAACTCACAGGCTAAGGACAGCTTGCATTGATATATAGAGTGCAGGAACGCTGAAGGTTTCAAAGAATATTTCGGCCATCTTTTCTCTATTCCGCCTAGGGTTGTATGGTGGTTCGGTGAGTAACACAGGATGCTCTTCACTGCTCACCATGAGCTGGTCTTTGCCATAAACGTAAGCCCAAATGCGCTCCATGTCATTCCAATCCCGAACTATCCCGTGTTCGATTGGATAGTGTATGCTCAACAAGCCCCGGTGTTCCTCAGCCTTTGGGCCAATAAATTCGTCACCTTCAAGGGCCCCGGCCATCACGCGTAAGTGTTTAGGACGCCCGATGCTTGACACCATACAAGTGAAATGGAGTAAACATGACTTACTAGTTTGGAAATCTATATTTTGGAACTTGATCACCCGCAAACCCCGCTTTGAGAATGCCAGTACCCTGGAAACGAATGCCGTAAGCAGAAACAGGTAAACAAGCAGTAGCGAAAGAGCAGGGTGTGCATTCACAACACGCGACATTCATAAAGTTCTAAGGTGTCCAATCAGGGAGACAGGGTAAGCTAACTATACACTATCGGAATTCGAGTGACTGAGAAACGTAGTCGTGAAAATACTATGGAATGATTGATGATTATAGGCACAAAATACTTGTTACTTAAGGAGTGGAAGGAAGCTAGAAATCTCAGAGTACAGGACAACAAGCGAGATGGTTATTTCCAGCATCTTGACAACATATGAACCCTAAATGAAAGAAGAAAAACACTAACAGATGATTTGATCTGCTGTGGTCAGTCGCGGCACCCAAACGTATGACGAACAGAAAGGCATCAGCATTATTCCAACATGCAGTACCAAAGCTTTGCTGCCTTGCAACTGCCACCGGTCGCAGGTGGGCGAGGGGTACGGCGAGGGTCACTGGGTCCCTACTCATGCTCGAATCCGTGCCGTCAGATTACAAGGAAGGCTTGTGATACCTAAGGTTATGGGCAGGCGTATAACGAATAGAGGTAACAAAAACCCAATACAAGTCAAGTCAAGCCAACACATGCTTTATGTACCCAAATGGGCGCATTTTACATTAGCAGCTGCAACTGTACAAAACGGGCACCAGCAAAAATACAAAAGTTAAAGAATGGGTAAAAAAGTAAAACGGGTGTACTATCACAGTTCGATCGAGCAACAATCGCATAACGCTGAACTAAAGCTTCGGGATTTGCATGCACTCGAAACCGCCAAGTTTCCTTAAAAGGTTTCCTCATAACTCGTTCAACTGAAGTAAAATCTTGTGCGAGATATCTCAGAGTTTATATTCAAAGGGTGGACGGAATAGATTGGTAAACTGAACTTGGAAGTGGACGAAACAAAATACCTGTCAGCTTATACTTGCAAAACTATATGGTTGGCGACATCTGATTTCGGATTTGTCTGTCAATGTAGTCATCCACAGGACGCCTGCGCCTACAGTGCGACCCTAGGTGGATGGCGCTGCACCACCCACAGCTCCAACCACACACCCCATATCCAGTGTAAACCCGAAGGAATAAGACCGGGAAGCATGTGGATGGGAGCCACGTTTCATCAACGGAGCCGGCCCACACTCCTTCACAGGCAAACACAAGCACACTGTAGTTGGGGAATCAAACGCACACAAGGCGGTGGCTGGACCGTAGTCCGCTCCACACTGAGTGCATGGAACCACTCTTCGAGCCTAGCACGGCCACAAGGACCGTGCACCCCATCCCCTCCAGCAACGACCAACTGTCTCCTGGAGCCAGTATGGACGAGGTAGTGGGTAATAGACAGATAGGCACCTTGTCAACATGCACATCAAGTGCAGCCACACCGGAGATGTCAAACAGCCAATCACTTCAAATGACATTATCAATAAAATATACCTGTTAAAGAATACGGCTATGCGGACATAACTCTACCCTAAATTAGCATATGAAGTAAGCTGGTTAGCGACGAATCCGCGATAAGTACAAAATGTCCAGAAGTTACTCAAAAAATGCTACAAACGCAATAAAGTTAACGAAGATAACCACAATTAGCGTAAGCAACGTGGCCAGTTAATAGAAGATTATTCAGGTAGGCAAAACAAACCAAATAAAGTGGAATGAAAGTTATCCAGCTTAAAAAGACCTAATTTAAGTGTAAGTTGGTTTAGCCCAACTGCGGTGAAGAAGCGTCATGAATGCAACATCAGCCTTAGCATAGGGCACTCAGCCTCAGCACCATAGGTTCTTCCGCTATATATATATATATATATATATATATATATATATATATATATATATATATATATATATATATATATATATATATATATATATATACCGGGAGAACCTATGGTGCGCTGACGCTGGTGGTGGCTAGATCTTGACAGATGATCTATCCACTGCTGCTACTGTTGTGCCAATGGCTCATGTCCTGGGCGCCTCATCGTGGCGACCGCTGAGTGGGAGTTGGGTTACGCCCTTCTCCCTGCTAAGGTCCAGGACACCAATCCGCATGAGTCAATGAACTAACCATGTGTTAGACCCGCTGCCTTTCGGGTGTACATTTAATCGAAGGCTTTGGCTGAGGACCCGAGTCGTTCTCCTGTCAGGTGTGGGCGCCCTGCCAATATCCTAGTCCATCCTCTTCGGAGGTTAGGAAGTGGTTGATGGCCCTCTTCCCGTAAAACCTAGCCATGGGAGACAACAGGTCTACTGGTTCTAAGCTCACAGCTCGATTGGCGTACAGCACGAGCGCCATACATTGTCTCTGACGGTGGGAGGGCACCTGCAGGTGTTCAATGGTTTGCTACTGCCCGCCTCAAATCAGGCAATCCCCGGTCAAATTGGTGCAAACCTGCCAAAATCCAGCTGCGTCTGGCCGTGGTCACAGGTGTATCCTACTACGGTCGTAAAACATATATAAATCGTTCCAGTACCTCAAACTCTGTATGTGACGGCCATCAAGCAGATCCTAATCTGTCTCTGCAATCACATTTCCGAGCTGTATCTCCATCCCACTTCCTTGTGGGTCAGGCTATTGAGCCAAACGCTCTGGGTAGAGTTCCTCAAACCAACCGCCAAACCCCCACTGCCTTGTGTGTAAAGTTATTGAGCCAAAGGCTCCGGATGGAGTTCCTCTAGCGAACCTCCGAAGCACAACTGCCACCACGCGTGCGATTTCCCGCCAATGCAATCGTATGCCTGCGCGCAAAGCACTCAACACCGGGTGCTGGAACATGCGCACACTATTGGATCGGAACTCCAGTAAGCGCCCGGGGCGACGCACTGCACTCGTCGCGATGGAACTGGCGCGCTACAACACCGATATTACGGCGCTCAGTGAAACCCGGCTCGATGAGCAAGGTATGTTGCATGAAGCAGGTGCTGGCTACACATTCTACTGGGTGGGCAATGCCGCATCAGCACCACGTGATCATGGGGTGAGATTTGCAATATCCGATCGCCTCCATGGGCCAGCTCCTGGGTGAACGAACAGGCATCAGCGCGCGACTGATGACTGTTCGCTTACGACTCGGAAGAGGTAATTTTGCCACTTTTATAAGCACGTACGGCCCGAACATGTGTTATCCTGATGAGACGCGTAATCAATCCTACACTCAGCTATTCCCCGTGATACGGTCTGTGCCGAGGAGCGACCGACTATTCTGCTGGGTGATTTCAACGCGCGTGTTGGGTGTGATGCATTGGTGTGGACAGATTTCATCGGTCCGCATGGTATTGGTTCAGTGAATGCGAACGGTGACAGGCTGCTCTCACTGTGTGCTACTCACAGCCTGACGATCACGAACACTCGGTTTGCACTGTGTGATATAGCAATTTGGACGCACCCACGGAGTGGTCACGCTCACCTGCTCGACTATGTCATCGTACGTCAGCGTGATATGCGTGAAGTGTGCATGACACGTGTACTGCGTGGAGCTGAGTGTGGCACTGATCACAAGTTGGTGCAGACCAAACTGTACACATATTTTCGTAAATCAATGTATTGCACTCCCGCCGTAAATCGACGTAAATTTAACATTCTCTTCCTCGGTACTGTGGCGAAACGTATTGAGCTGAAGAAGGCGATGGCTGCAAGCCTGTGTGATGTGGAATGGATAGCTACAGTGGGAGACCTGTGGCACCACATTCGCGACCAGGTGACAGCTGCTGCCGAGGAGACCATCGGGCGCACAAACTGTAAGCGGCCTGATTGGTTTGATGAGAACAACGCGACGATTGGCGCATTGATGTCGGAGAAGCATGCAGCATTTGCTGCACATAAGGCAGACCCCCGTGACTTGGGGAAGAAGAGAAAGTTTGGCAGAATTCGATGTTAACTGACCAGAGAGTTCCGTAGTATTACAAATGCATGATGGACGGAGATGACGATGCAGATGGAATGCTACGCCGAACGCCGCTAACACAGGGAATTCTTTGAAGCCTTAAAGGTGGTGTATGGACCGTGATTGGAGACGCTGATTGATAGTAGCTCAGGCGCTATCTGCATACAGACTGCAGACATAAAGCAGATCTGACAAAAACACTTTGACTGTCTCTTGAACAACCGTTCAGAGATCGACTGGTCTACTTTAAACGGCCTGAAGCAGCACGATGTGAAGGCGAGTCTGGCGGACACGCCGACACTGGATGAGACGCAGAGAGCACTTGCTCAGCTGTGAAATGGCAAGTGTGCCGGTGCCAACGGGATCCCGCCTGATGTATTGAAACAGAACGGACCCGCCTTGGTGACTGCGCTGCACCACTTGATGCAACGTGTATGGATTGAGGAGAGAGTGCCCCCTGAGCTGAAGGACGCCCCATGTGCTACCGCTGTACAAAGGCAAAGGGAGCAAGCAATGTTGTACCAGTTATCGTGGCATCAACTTGCTGAGTTGTGTGGGCAAGGTGATTGCCTGAATCCTCCTCAACCGCCTCGTCAGTCAGGTTGTGGAACTAAGGTGGCGGAAGAGCAGTGTGGATTCGGCTCTGGTCGCAGCAGTATAGATCTGGCGTTTGCGGCTTGTCAGTTGCAAGAGAAGTGCAGAGAACGACACCAGCCATTGTACTCGCTTTTTGTTGATTTTACCAGAGCATTTGATACGGTGAACCTCGAGGCATTGTGGCTGGTGTTGGGTAAGTTTGGTTGCCCGCGTAAGTTTGTAAGTTTAATTGAATGTCAGCACCGTGGTATGCGAGCGAGGGTGCAGGTGAGTGGAGAGACCTCGGATGACTTTGCAGTTGTCTCTGCTGTGAAGCAATGCTGTCTTAGCTCCTGCCCAGTTGAAAATTTATCTTCATGCAATGATGTCTTGTGCTTTTGATGCGGCTTGTGCTTACGATGTTCGTGTGGAGCACCATATTGATAGTGGGTTGCTGAACATCTGTCTTTTCGATGGGAGAACCATAGTCTGTGAGACAAGTATCCGTCTGTTGCTGC